CTTCTGGAAGGCATCCTGAGTGGCCTTGTGTAAGTTTGTGAGGTGCTTAGCAACATCTGCTCTTGTTTTGGCAATGGATTCTGAGTGCTCCACTTGCTTTGTTGTCAGTTTTGTGAGAGATGAAGCATGGCTGGAAGCTCCTTGGTCCGCATGATTTGGATGAACTCCTCATGCTCTTGGATTGCTTTGAAGGCCTGCTCAAGATTAGGAGGTAAAGAGATGGTAGGAGGTACCTGGGCAGAGGGCTCTGCTGCTTGGGAGGCCACTGCTAGTTCTTTTTCCCTTAGCTTCTTCAGTGAGTCAACAATCTGATTTTCCAGCTCTTCATCCCTGGCTTTCAAAGCTTCAAGTTCGTTGCGAAGTGCCTCCATCTGAGCTGGTTGGTTTAAGAGTTGAATGTTGAGCTGAGCTTTCTGCTCTGAGTTGAATACTTGCTGTATCATCAAATTGCTTTTTATATGGTAGTGTACTTCAGCGAACCTCATTTCCAGCAGCTCATCAAAATGCTTCTTCATTTTGATCAGTCTCTTGTGTAGGCGTACCTCAGCGTTGCTAATGAATTTTGTGGTTGCTCTTCTTTCGTTGATGAAGACCTCTGCTAGTGTTGGAGTGTCTTCTTCATCCTCATGTTGAATTTGGTTTTTAATTTCGTTGGACGTGGCAGGCTGCTCAGGAGCTGTATCTTGGTGGGGTTTCAAGTTGAGATCTATCATAGCAGTCCCCTGCTGGATAGTAGCAACCAATAGTTTCTGGGGTGCCTTAGAGGATTCCCCACCTCCTTTAGTCTCCAACCTTGATTTCTCAAGAGTCTGTCTGAGTTGTTTATCACTAGAGGAGGACGAGTGAATGGTTTGCTTACCTCTTGATCTTGGCGGTCCCTTGGGTGCGTTGTCAGCATTATCATCATCATCATCATCATCATCATCATCATCATCATCATCCAGGTCATCATTATCTAAGTCTTCGATTGTATCTTTGGCTGTGAGGTTCTTTTTCTTTAATGCGTACACTTGGTTGATCATGTGAAGTCTTGTAGCCTCAGCCATGTCCTCAGTGCCAAGCCACTCCACAACGAAGTCTTCTTCCTCTATGAAATGAGAGAAGGTGTCTGCTTGAAGAAGGATCCTTGATAGCTTCCAGGAGCGCCATGCTTTGACCCTTGCAAAATCTGCATCTAATTGCTCTAAGGGAGTCATTTTACGTGACTCCACTGCTGGTGAAGGAGGACTCTGCTCTGGCTCTGGGGGAGCCACCTGCTCTCTTATATGAGTGGTCTTTTCAGTCTGTAGGTGAGCAACCTGCTCTAGTAAGAGAGCCACTTGCTCTTCTTGTTGAGTTATTTTCGGAATGTGTATGGACAGGGGGAGAGCAGAGTTGTTGCTTCCATTTGAGGAACCGGCAGAGGCCTCTGCTTCCTCTTGAATTATGGCTAAGGGTGAGGCGACTGGTTCTTCAGGATGGAATGATGAGGCTGCCTCTTCTAGTTCTGCTTGTAGATTTCTGGTTGCCGTTCTTGGCTTCTTAGATTGAGTTGCCTTGCACCCAGACCGAATTCTCTTTGCAGCCTTTGTCTTGATTTTGTCAAATGTGATTTGAAGAGGCTCATGAGATAGTAGAGTAGCATCTTCCTTATGAATCTCAGGTGCTCCAGTCTTTGATGTTTGGAAGAGGAATTTCCTCCAGTTAATGTCTTCCTTAACAGTTACCGATGTCCCTTTCTTCTTTAGCAATTCTCCAATGAGGAATTCGTAGCCTATCAGTGGGAGCGAACCATCCTTTCTTCTATCTTTGTGAGATTTATTGACATACCGTATCAGCTCTTTAAATACGTATCTTGACCAATTGTAAGGAGTGCCGGAGATGATTGCGGTCAACGGTTTTGCTCGTTGTGCATTTACCTCGTCCAATGTTGTGGTTCTGCAGTCGATGCACTTGTAAAGAATATCCAGTAGCACATCGTACTCTCTAACCATCAGCTTCTTCTTTTATTGAGCATTAGGGAGGAAGACAAGTTCTTTGAAGCTCTCCTCGTCCACGTTTAGGTTTTCTACATCTGGGGCTTCATCTCCAGGTAGGGAGAGGAGATCTTTGATTTCTGCTTCCTGAATTTCCACTT